AGGAGGATGGAGGGTGGAGGGAGGGAGGTAACCATCCGGGGGTGCGGGAGGGCAACCCGGAGACAGTCGCACGTGCCGGGTGACCTCCAGGTGGAGGGACAGCAGGCAACAGGAGGAGCCAAAACCCAACCCAAACCCCAAAACATAGACTGCAATCTGACACAAGTACGGCACGTGGACCGCGCAAAAGGGGGTGGGTGGGAGGAGGGGAGAGAAGCGGGAGGAGGGGGGGAGGGGAAAGACGAACCATGAACGAGTGAAGGTGCTGCCAGGGCAAGAGTGTACCAGGAGAGGGAGAGGGGGGGAGGCCAGCGAAGAAAGGGGTACCGCGCTGAGGTGCCGACAACCGCAACACCACCACAGTTTCATACCCCTCACTCACTCACTCACTCACTCACTCACTCCCAGTTCAGCGTGCTCCACACGTACCGTCCGTACTACAAAACACAGACACGCACGCACGCACGCACACGCGTGTGTACCAGCAATGCAGCTATTGAGCTCATATGTACGCCCAGAACTTACGGAACAGCAATCGGTCCCACACAAGCACCTCCCAGAACCAGCGCTCGTCCTCCATCCGGTTGCGCCAGTACCACATGCGCTCACCCTCCGACATGAGGAAATTCTCGTACCTACGGGGGACGAGGGATGGGACGAGATGGGACGAGGGATGGGACGAGGGATGGGACCAAAACTGTTGGACACGGAGAATATATTCCAAACACCACCACGAGCCCTAACTCTAAATCTTATCTGGTAAAAGGGGCGGGATGGGATCGGGCGGCGGGGGGGTTAGGACACCGCTACCGCAAAAATGCGGACAGAGCTGCCCCTCGTGGTTGCTCTCCCCTCCCCTTCTCTTCCCTTCCTTTCTCTTCTCTTTAAACCCCCTTTTAAAGATTTTTTTTATCTTTCGCATCTTTCGATTTCCTCTTTTGATTCCTCCTGACCACCACCGCCAAGGCAGCAACCCGTCCACCGGGTTGCTTCACGCGCGCCGAGAGAACAAAGGGAAGCAAGGAAAGAAGGGAACCCAATTCCTAGAAACATCTCTAACACGCGTTCCCGGAGAACCTGGCAGGATACATCCATCCATCCATCCATTTTGCGGTATGGTCAAGAGTCAAGAGTCAACCGCCCTGTTTGTGCCCTGGTCTTGTTTTCCTCTGAAAGTTAACTCCGCGCCGCGCCATCACCATCTTAAAGTTTAAAGAGAATTAAAACGTCGAATTCCCGTCCGCCCCATCCCGCCCCACCCCAGCCTCCTCCTGACCACCATCACCACCACCACCACCACCACCGTCGGGAATATACCACGCAGATCCAAAGATCCAAATATCTAAGAATGCCCCTCTTGTTCTGCACATCGCAGGCAGGACAGTGCCCCTGTACGGATAATATTCCCGCTCCACCCCAATTGACTTCCAACCCCCAAACCCCAACACACACGCATACCTCCCGGCACAACGGAGACCAGGAATGCCGAAGCACTCCCTCCCTCCCTCCCTCCCTTTCCCCCCATTCCTCCCTCCTCACCCCTCCTACAGACGACCAATACCCCACCCGCCGAGTCCAACCCCCCATCCACTGCCGCTGCACAACCCCACACGCGCCCGCCCTTCTTTTTGCTGGCCCCCCCCCTGCGCTGTAATGATACCCGCATACCGTTGGGAGTTGAACAGGCCCTGCCAGGACTGCACCGCTGCTGCTGTGAGGCTGAAGGGCAACATGAGCACCGCCCGCAGGAACTCCCGCACCCGGACGACGGCCAACGTGGCCTTAGTCACCGGACTGCTTTGCCTGGGGGAAGAGGGGGGAAAGAGGGGGGAAGAGGGGGGAAAGAGGGGGGAAGAGGGGGGGAGGAATCATACGCGAAGGAACCGAGGGAAAGAACTGCGGAGCAGCGGACGGGCGGCCGCAAGGGAACGTACACAGGGAGGGAGAGAGAGGGAGGGGGGCTGGCCATGGCATGGGTTATAGATGCTTTGGTTTGGTTCCGGAGCTATTTGCGTGGGACGTGACGGTGTGAAGGCCTGGGAAGGACCCAAAAAGAAACCTAGAAACGCAATGGGCTCGCTCCAGTGGAACAAGCCAAGGCCAAGGGTTAGTCCATAGCGGGAGAGAGTATGGGTTGTGTGGTTCTCTTGTGATGAGGGGGGCCAGGCTTGGGGGCAGAGGGAGGGGCATCGATAGCAGGAAGGCGAGGGCGCAGGAAAGCTGTGGAGTGGGGGCCTACATACACCTTGTAAGTTACAATCGGCAGGAGAAGGGATATGAGAAGGGTATGTCCGCGGTAGGACGGGGAAGAGACACGTGCGGAAAAACAATGAAGGGCAACACAGGGTTAACATCGTTGCGGGAAAAATCGTTTCATCTACCTTCGCAATTGGGATGCTCACGTGGGGCGGGGGGGAGGTAGGGGGCCGGGAAAAGTCAAAGCCATAAATCCCAACCAAATTTTGTAATTCTTTTCAAAGACTTACAGGTCTAGTCGTGCGCGCGCGATGTCGCTGGCAACGAGGCTCTCGCGCAAATCGCCAGGTCGTTCCTCCTGCCGAAGCTCCGCTTCGCGCAGCTCCATCACTTCCTCCCTCATTTTTCGTAATTTTGCCTCTTCTCGTGCCATCGCCGCTTCAGCTGCCTTTTCCTCCACATCCTCCGTGGGCTGCTCTGCTTGCTGTAGATACTTCCGGCGGCTGCTAAAGAAGTTCTTGATGCGCAACGCCCACAGCGCTGAAAAATCCGCCTTTTCCTCTGTGCGTTTGGACTTATCGTCCTTGCCGTCTTTGCCAGCTCGCGCAATTAGCCTGCTGTGGAGTCGACCGCTGCTGCTGGGCGCACAAGGAGGAGTATATGTGCGCCAGCGTGCACTAGCTGGGATCTGTCCCGCAGGCGCGTGGCAGCCTAAAGCAGCCTGCATGCTAGGCGGCCGGCGACCCCGATACCTCCGCACTTCCCTCACGACTTGCGTTGATCTATGGTAGAGCTTTCACCAGTGATTTGGGTCGGGAAGCACACAAATTCTACAGCAGGATCTGAGCAAAAACAACGCCTCTGTCAGTGCCAACGGAAGTTAACTGTCATAGTGTGTACGGCTTGCCGAAAGCAATACTCGGCAAATCAATCAAAAGTTTTTCATTGAACACCAAAACATGGTGGATTTGCTTCAAAGTAAAACATCAACTCGGGCGGTATCTTGCAGCTCAACTGCAAGGCTATCATTTAAGTACTCCTCCATCCTTTCCGGAGAAATGAGTCATTAAAAGTATAGCTGTGCTTGATTTCTACTTTAACTTTTAAAATGGCTCAAGTTCTTCTCCAAGGACGCGGCTGCAGGTTTGGTACGTTTGCGCCGCCCATAGACCAGTCCGCAACGCAGCGTCTTGTCACACAGCAACGGAGGCGATGCTCCCCTTACGGAGCAACCGAAGGTAGAGGCCACAAATAAATTTCCAGAGCGCTCCACTTGCGTCCGCGTCACAACACCGTTGGGCTCGCCCTGCGCCACAAAAGCGCAAGGGCTGTCGTGCACTGCACAACCGCCGGACCCTAATCCCTCACCTCCCTCTCAATCCAACAGATTCCACATCACTGTTTCGCAATTACAATTTCTCTCCTACCGCCTTTTATCTCACAGCGATACAGCCTCCCACCCGCTTTGCTTTTGCCATGGCTTACATTCCACGCCGTACCACCCCTGCCCTAAACCACAGTTTTACCGACCTGTGCGATGGCCCCTTTTCGCCGTCGCACATTATCTTCATCAGCTCGTGGAGAGGCTAGCATCACTAGCGCTGGCCGCGCGGCAAAATTGTACGACCTAGACCGCGAAGGCGCGTACGTCACAAGCTCGCCAGCGCCGCAGGCACCTTCGGCAATTGGCGACGGCGACGGCGATCGCGCATTCTTAGACGACGGCTGGGGTGTGGCGGCTGTGGGAACGTCATCAGCCCCCTCGTCCGCGCCGCCTAAACCGGCTGCGAAGCAGCGCGATAAAAAAAAGTTGAAAAGGCCGCAGCTCCAAGCGGCGGCGGCAGCTGTGCCTGGCCTAGCCCAGCGGCCTGTGGCCACTCCATTCTTCGACAAATCCAGCGAGGCCGGACTTGCGGGCCTGACGCTGCTGCAGGTTAAACTCATGGAGGAAGGTACGACGGATTGGTACGGATGCCCGATGTAGCATTCTGTACGGCACACGTGCGCGGTCAGGACCTGGTCAGTGGCCTATGCAGATCTGGATCTGGATTGACCCAGATTGTGGATTGATCCAGAATGGTGAACCTTCTCTTTCCCGTTTTAGTCTGGTTTCGGTGCTATTCTTGGCCGATGCTGCTCCTCATCCCGTACATCCCGTACACCCTGGCACCGACACGCTTAACCTTCCTGCAGGCCGTGTCGTACACGTTCCTGAGCGGAAGGCAGCGACGGCGGCGGCGGCGGAAGCGCGACGTGAGAGGCAAGCCAAGACAGGTGCGGTTGCCAGCCCCCTTCCTGCCCCCCTTCCTGCCCAACGTGTGTGTTTTGAATGTCGTCATTTCTTTTTCCTTTGCTCGACTCGTGCATTTGATTCCCCCCTTCTCCCACCCTTCTCTCCCCCTCCTCCCTCCCTCCCTGGCTAGTTCTGCCTCCTTTTTACTTCTGCTCACCAGTCTTTCCTTGGCATCACCTTCACTCGCTCGTGGTTCGTCTCCCCCCCCTTCCCACCCACCCACCCACCACCCTATCCGGTTCTTCGAACAGAACGCCCGGAAAGCCCGGGTAGATTGGTAGTGTAAGGCCCCTTTTGACAGTCCCCGTTTCTTCCCGCCACTGCCCTCTATTACCGCCGACCAGGTGCAGGCCTCTGCCCTCATAACAGCAAAACAGCAACAGCCGTGAAGGCGATAGGACTTAAAAAGATTTTGTTTAGGATGCCCTGGCGGAGCAGGCCACGGCAGTTCATACTCTGCACTCATATACGTGTGTCCCCTACCCGTACCGCTCACCCACGACCTTAACCCTCCGTCCCTCCCTCCCCTTCTCCCGCCCTTTGGAAGTTCCTTCTTTATCCCGCGAATGTTCTCCCGCCGTACTCCCGTACTGCCCGTACTCCGTACGACATCGTTAAAATGTCCTTCATTTCTTCATTTCCCCTCTCGCCATCTTAGTCCGCCGGAAACGGGACTGGGTGGACCCGGACGACCTGGAGGATGAGGGGGAGGCGGAGGAGCTTTCCCTGAAGCAAGGGAATCAGCAGCAGTACTTTGAAGTGAATTTGGAGGCGGATGGATCCACGGTACGTACGACAGGGTACGGTAAAGTACGGCGGAGGGCGGTTGAATGGATGGTGAGAGGGATTATTGCTCCGGAACCGGTTTCATGGGGGGAAGAAAGCTACTCCTAAACATGTTACGAAAGGGCGCTCACAAAGGGAGAGCGCTACAGGTCAGGATGGGATGATAACGCAAGTCTTAAGGAAACACGAGAATGTGCGATTTGGGCAACTCTGTGTGTATATTGTAATATTGCGATTGTGGAAAATAAAAAATGTATTGTTGTCGTATGAATTTTGACCTGGGTTCGTTCAGGAAGTGGTGGAGTTCGACACGAAGGGCCGGGTCAAGGCACGAAGGGCACCCGGGGCTGGCGCGGCCGGCAGCAGCAGCCGCCGCCGCGGCAACATGGATGACGATGACGATCCGCTTGCATTCCTCGCGGACATCGAAAATGATGACGACGATGAGGATGTTGTCGTGATTGGGGATGCGAAGGAGGAGGACGACGATTTCGGGTACGGCCGGCGGCGCGTCGCCAGCGGCGCCGCCGCCGGTCCTCGTCGCGGCAACCTGTACGACGATGGCGCTGACGACGACGGGGCGGAGGAGGACAGAATCCGGCGGCGGCGGCCGATGCCGGGGCAAGATCCCTTGGCAGATGAGGAGATTGAGTGGGGTCTGGATGAGATCCGACCCGTGGGTCGTCCGTCGCTGTTGCGGGAATTGGGTGTCATCAAGAAAAAGAAGACGACATCGCCAAAGCGAGACCAACAGCAGCAGCCGCATCACCAGCTACAACAAGAACAACAACAGCGAATACCCCAGGGGAAACAGCCGCAGCAGCCAAGTGCGCTGAGTGGGACGAAGGGGAAGCGGGGGGCGGCGGCGGCGGCGGCGGCGGCTGCAGCCAGGTAGCTAAATTGTTGGGGCACCCACCCCTGGCGCACTAGCCAGGTTCCTCTCGGCAGTCTGGGAGACCCGGCACGTTGCTCTAAGGCGCTTCGTGCTCAAGCGGACGAGGGTCTCAGAAGGACGATGATGGTCCACCACATAACCGCACCAGAAACGATTTACCGTCCATGCCCCCCACCCCGGGCTTTTACGGACACCCCCGCACTCGCGTGCCGAACTTCTATAACTTGTAACCTGTTAGTGCACCGGGTGGAGGGGCATCAGCGTCAATACATCTATAAATGTTAGATAGATACATAACATACCTCTACGTTTTTGTTAGCTCTATTCCAGATGATTAGCAGGATAGTAAAGGATTATTGACAAGAATGTATCTCATTCTTCCTTCCCCTATTTTCCTTCTCATTCCCTTCGTTAGTAGTAATAGAGTAGTATTAGGAAGGCTTATGATTTGGTTGTCACCATTGGGTAATTCTGGCGGTCAGATCTTTTGTTTCGCGGCTAGTCCTCATCTTGTTCTCCTCCTCCTCCTTCTACTTCTACTTATTTTACGGAACAAAACGACCAACTTCCAACTGTGTCCGTGCTACATAACCGAGTCCCAACCGTCGGGTGCCACTTTAGGCAACTCCCAAACGCCCCCTTTTTTCCGTTAAGTCTTGGATGTAATCCATGTCTTCCCCCATCTCTCCTCCCCTCTTTCCTTTTCGCAACCCCACCTCAATCCCCCAACTCTCCGAACACACACACAAACACACACGCTCGGCCGCAGTGGCAAGACGGGCGCCGCGTACAACGACAGTGATGAAGACGAGTACGACGAAGATGAGGAACATGACGTCAGCGTGTCGTGGGGTGGCAGCGGCGGCGCCAGCGGTATCGATATGGAGCAGCAGGAGGCGCTGCTGGCGCGACTGTTTAAACCGCACAAGGTATGCCGACGATTTACCTTCCTTTCCCTACATATACATACCTTTTTTACATACATACATACATACATACATACATACATACAAATACCCCTCCCCCAAACCCCCCTCAGGCCAAGGAGCTGATGGCTCACCAGCGTGCTGCGGAGCTGGAGTTGGCCGCACTGAAGCGCAAGACTTCGGGCCGACAGGTGCTTGAGAGCAAGGTGCACAGCCGGATGCGGATCATAGCGGGCAGCGCGGCGGGGCGGCAGCTCGCATCCAGTCAGGGAGCAACCACACGGCCCATGATGGAAAAGGTAGGTGTGGGGGTTGTTGGTGTGTTGGGGGGGAGAAAAGAAAGATAGGGGAAAGTAAAACCCTTATTCTTACCAGCGCGCAGATCCCTGCAGCTGTTGTCCCCTTCACACACGCGGCCCAATTTCCCCTCTTTCTCCTTCACGACAAAATCTCATTTTTTTACCTGCTACCTTTCCCCCCTCCTCCGGCGCTATCGCATGCCGTCCCGCCGGGGGTTCCCGCGGGGGTGCATTCACGACATCCATTCTGCGGCTTGTGGGGGTTGTGTTTCGGTTCCTGTTTCTGCCTTCTAGACTCGCCATCGCTTGTTGATCATCCAGCTCCCTCCCCTCCTCCCCCATTCTCTCGTCCCCAACCCCCCGGCCACTCACTCGCGGCAGGTACGACAGGCCATATTCAGCATGATTGAATCCCAGGTGGGCTCGGAGAACGGGCTGCCGGTGACCTCCCGCTGGCTGGACATGTTCGCCGGCACCGGCAGCGTGGGGCTGGAGGCGCTCAGTCGGGGCTGCAGGGAGTGCCACTTCATTGAGCTGGACCCGTGGGTCTGTCGCAAGGTGCGTGGTGGAAATGGTGGGGGAGGGGGAAGTACCTGACCGCCGCGTCGCCACCACTTCTGGAACGTGTTACGGCGGAGGTAGGGGAAACGGCGCAGGTTGCCTGATTTGGCAACAGCTGAGTCAAAGTCTCCTCTCCCAAGCGCGCGGGAGACATGTCCTGAGCCCTTCTGGCCGCCCTATTGACCGCCAGGCTATCTTGTCACTACATACTTCTCCTGCTCAGTGATTTACCGTTCGCGCTATTGCCACTGCACTGCCCGACCTTGTTTTCCCTCGACCCGCCGCCGCGGCCGCCGCCGTCATGGTGGTGGTGGTGGTGGTGGTGGTCGCTGCCTCCACGGCCTCCAGGTGCTATCCCGCAACATCTCCTCGTGTGGGTTCCAGCGCCAGTCGGTGGTCCACTCCATGAAGGCAGAGGACTTCCTGAGGAAGTCGATTGAGCTGCCCCGCTTCGCAGGTGGGGAGGGGAGGGGAGGGGAGGGGAGGGGTTTCTTTTTCTCTCTCTCTCTCTCTCTCTCTCTCTCTTATCGCCCGTTTACCTCTTTCGCACCGCACTGAGATTGACCGTTCCCCGCAGGCGGCCCGTTCGACTTCCTGTCGGTCTGCCCGCCGTACCTCGTGGTCTCGTACCCCGAGCTGATGGACCTCCTGGAGCGGTCTCCGCTGCTGCATCCCCGCTCCATTGTCTTCGTGGAGTACCCCAAGCAGCTGGAGCACCAGGTGCCACAGACCCTTGGGTCGCTCATCACGGTCCGGGATCGCAAGTACGGCAGGACGTACATCCGGGTGTACGGCCCGGCGGAGGGCCCGGCGGGCGGCGCCTCTGGCAGTACGGAGGACAGGGGGAATGAAGATGATGAAGATGGGGAGGAGTTGTTGCTGTGAAAATGATAATGATAATGATAATGATAATGATGCTGATGTGATGTGATGTGATGTGATGTGATGTGATGTGATGTGATGTGATGTGATGTGATGTGATGTGTGCCGTTAGTGAGTTTCGGTAGATGGTGCAGCGGAGGTTGCTTTGGGGCTCGCGCAATGGGTCGTTGGGGTGATAGTTCTTCAGGATGTTTATCTTTGGCGGTTCGGTGGATTATTGGGGCTGCATGGAAGAAAAAGCATCAGACGAGAGCATGAAGTCTTTGCGCGCTTTGGTTTTCCCCGACTTGTTTGCCGTGTGTGTGGGAGGAGGGGTGGAAGAAATGTCTTTGCTTGCGCGGATGATCAGGGTTTTCGACTTTTCTTGCGGTTGAACCTGCAGCTCCACATCCACCTCCCACGGCTCCCAGGTTAAAATTGCCCTGTGAAGCGGTAAAGCGGTGGTATTGCGTCTCTACGCCCGTCTCTACGTGGTAGTCTTTGATGATGAGATGGACCCTAACTTTTTACAGCGATGTAAATTGGGGATCCTGGGTTCCAAGTCCAAACGGTTTGTTAACGCACAAGATTGCGCCATCATGGACAGCATGCGCCTTCGGTCTGCTTGGTGTACGTCGGTGTACGTCGGTGTACTTCGGTGTACTTCGGTGTACTTCATCATTGAAGTGACTTCGGTCAAGCAGCAGGGGAAAAGCGGGGATTCAAGAAGGAGACAGTGGGTGGAGCGCTAGCTGTCGTTGGATGGGGGGATTTAATTTGCCGTTGTCAGCCGCTTGGGGATTTGAATTTTGATGCCCGATGGGAGTTGCATGTGCTCTCTCTTTCACCTGTCCCACCTCCCTGGATGACGATGGGACACCGGGCCAGTCGTTCGTTTGCTGATAGCTCCTCCTTCCCTTGTTACATATATAATCCCTCTGGCCCTCTGGAAGATCATGTATGTGCAATTTTTTGTGTAATAGCTTGCAGCAGCAATTATGGGCAAGGGAAGAAAACTAGTAACAGAGTAGGAGCAAGTTTTGGCAACGCGCCTGCTATGTGCTTCAGGATGGCACCTCCCCGGCAGCTGGGCGATAGCGGCACCACCAGGGTTCAAGCCAGATGCATAGTGGCTGTAATTGGCTTGCTGAAAAACCTCGGTTTTAGGGCTTGCGCTATGTTCCGGTAACGCTCGGAAGCAGGGTTTGCGAAACCGGAAGAGCTATCAGGTGTTGTTGCGTTGACTTCCTCTGTGACACTTTCTCTGTCCAATCGGCGTGAAGGAATAGCTTGTAACCGTCAGCAGGGATATCTGACCCACGTGCCAGACAGCGAGTGCGGACCCAGGAGGATTCAAAGACCCAGGAGGATTCAAAGGGCCCCTGGATCCCCGTGCTAAAGGGCAGGGATTGTGATGAGCATCCATATCACAACTCCCGTGCAGGTGTGAGGCGCCCGCCGGGCCCAAAGCCAATCGACCAACGTTTGTGTATGCAAATAGGTATGTGTGCTCTATCGGTCACAACTCATATCGACATAATGCACGATTGCTAATTTTTAGGCTTTGTCGCGGTGGTCGACTGTCCGGCTCATCCGGCTAGTTTACGGCAGCCTTCGCGCGCGCTCCATTTTGGATGGCCCTACACCAAAGACTGCTTATTCTTTCGCTGGCGTGCTACTCCAACGGCCGCTAGCGCTCGCGCCCTAATTCTTAATCACATTATTGCAATCTGACGCCCATCCCTGTTACTTGTTGCCGCTATGGACCCACTGGCAAACAAGGTACTACATCAAGAGGCTTGGACAATGTAGCGGAACCAATTACTGATATAGCGACTGCCTATTTGTGCCGTGGCAGGAAGTGGTGTTCGACCTGGATGCCGCGGCTTTCAGCTCGGATGATTTCCGGATGTTCCAGTTTAAGGTATGTTTGGTGCTCTGACTTGCAAAAATGCAGCGCTTCATGCATCCATCGGATCTGTGCAGGTGAAGCGCTGCCCGCGAGCAAGGCCACATGACTGGACTCAGTGCCCATTTGCACATCCCGGGGAGAAAGCAAAGCGCAGAGACCCGCGAAAGTATCGATATTCCGGAACAGCTTGCCCGGAGTTCAGACGGGTGCGTTAAAGCTTGCCAAATCGTTCTCAGTTTCTCCATGGTACTGATACCGACGCTTGCATCGCAGAACGGGTGCTGCCGCCGCGGAGATGCTTGCCCGTTTGCCCATGGCGTTTTCGAATGCTGGTTGCATCCATCTCGGTACCGGACCCAGGTGTGTCTAGGTCTCCTACGGGCCCCAAGATATTTTTTCCTTCAACCCACCGGACAGGTTTTATCATTTGCAGATGTGCACAGATGGCTCTAATTGCAAGCGCCGCGTCTGCTTCTTCGCGCATACAGAGGGCGAGCTTCGCAAGCCAGAGGAGGATCCGTTGTGGCTGCAGCAGCAGCTTCAGGCGGAGTTAGCTGCTGGTAAGAGAAATGTTAATAGCCGAAAATTGTTCATATGTGCTTGGTGTTCGGCGTGCCTAGCGCGCTATGATATTGGCAACAGGATGGAGGCGCGGCGCACCTGATCCAAGCAGGTTCAAAGAGCAGAAGGGTTTAGAATAGAAGGTCTGGTTATTTGGATGTATTCAGAACGGTCTCCTTAAGGTGCTTAGGCCAGTTGCTCTCTTTTCGCGAACGCCTCGGCGCGGTAAAAATGTCAGCAGTTTACGTCGTAAATGCTTGCTGTATTGCTTCTTGGGGTTCGTTCTAAGTGCGGTAACTCAAGGATAGTTTCCTAGATATTTACTGGTCTTGGGATTTTATAGCCTTTTATCCCTTGTCACTGATAAAGCAGTTCGTTATGACATCCGAGAACCCAGCATAATCAGTTCAGACCTTGTGAGCCCGGCTATCTGCACCTGCAGTGTTCACTTCTGGGGCCACTGCCGGCGCGACAGCAGTTGGCTTGTCGCCTCTCGACGCCTTGCGTCCGCTTGTCACTTTACTTCGCAACTGCTTTAACGCTATGCAGAGCAGCAAGTCCAGCAGCAAATCCAGGCGCTTAAGGTGTTTGCGAGCATTCTGGGCCCTAACGCAAGCGCCGTAGGAGGACAGCAAGCGCCAGCCGGACAGCCGCAGCCGGGGTTGGACGTGAGTACATCACCTGCCGTAGTACGGGGTGGGGGTGACCGGGTTGAAGATAGTCCCGGGGTAAAGGGACCATTCCTCCAACCTTCGCTCCGGCGGGTTGGGGCTGTTACGGAATGGTTTCTGGGCTGCCTTGGGACTTTTTTAGGACCTCATTTTCGCCATGGCAAGCGGAGAAGGCGAGGGGAGTGAATTTTGAGCTGGGGGGCCGTTGACGGGAAAGCCGAGAGCGCAGGTTTTTCAGGAGGGCCCTAACTAGCGCCGTCACGGTACTACTACATGCGGTATGCGTCCCTTCCCTCCCAGGCTCTTCCCCCACCTGACAGCGCTGACAGGGAGATGGTATCGTCCCGTTGTTGCTATGCAGTTATGGCTACTAGCCACGTTATGGCTGTCTAGCAGCATCCCACTAGCTCATGTGGGTCATAGTATTTGGATTAACAAATCGATGAACATTCTCGAAGTGTCGCGACGGTGAAGCCTTAGTTATGAGCGGATGAAGAACTACTATCGCTCACTAACGACAACCGGCACTGCGGGCATGTTCGCATGGGCCTGCTGCTGCCTGGATTCTGTCTCGTGTGTTGATGAGCAGATGTTGAAGAACCTGCCATCCTCAACGCTGACCCACATCCTGGGAGCAGCAAGTCAAGGCGGACCCGGCTCGGGCCCCATGGGTGCCGGACAGCAGGTAACTGAGCGACTCGGCGACTTGGCGCTGTAGAGAATGGTGAAGGGTGTGACGAGGAGGGTGGTAGTGGAAAGGTTGCCCTTTTCCTGTCCCTTTCCTGTGACAGAGGGGTGTGTGTGATGGGATGCATTAGAAGCGGCGACTGCCTTCCAGTAGTCCGTGGGAGGCATACATCCAGGATTGGGATTGGGGGCCCAACGGTGGGTGGGAAAACTAGCAGGACTTCCAGTGCAGGGAGGGGGGGCGTCCGCGGGGCACGGTTAGCGGCGCACAGCTCCTTAGCGCTTTGTGCCTGTCATTGATCCCAGCAGCAGCAGGGGCTGGTGCTGAAGGTCGACTGTCAAGCAGGTAGTGTGCGTCTGTGAGCGTACTGTTGATTGCTCTGAGGTCGGTTGTCCTGGTTGGGGTGGTTCACGTTCGCGCCATCGCGTCCAGCACCGTTCCAGATCTTTGCTTTTGTGTTCCTCCTTTAAAAGAGGGGAAGCCTCACACGTTTATGAATGTGCATGTGATCATAGTTTTGTGGACCCTGAAGTCTTCTGATCCATCCCACGGTTAACCATCTTTCCATTTATCCATGCAGGGCGGCGCTGGTGACGGGCTGCTACAGCTGCTTCAGCTCGTGGAGCAGCAGCAACAGCAGCAGCAGCAATCCTCGGCTGCGGCGAACACCGCTCAGCTGCCGCCACCTCTCGCGCCGGCGGCTAGTGCACCCGCGAACCTGGCTAGCCTGCTGTCTGTTGTCACGGCGGCGACCGGGCCGGGACCTGCTGCCGGCGGCGGCGGCAACGTCGCCACCCCTGCATCTGCGGGTGCTTCCGGCCCGGACATGCAGATGAAGCTGGCGCAGCACCTGCTGCAGCAGCAAACGCAGCAGCAGCAACAACAACAACAGCAGCAGCCCGGAGCTGGTTTGGGACCGGATGCTCTGCAGGTGGGAGGTGGAATTGGAAGGAGTTGGGCGAATGGCAACTGTTGGGGGGAGTGATTGCGGGGTGGGGAGGTAATGGGAGGGTTTCATTGCTAATTACGGTGTGATTATTCGCGTTTGACGCCCTTCCCCCCGGCTTTTACAGACACCCCCGCACGTGGTGCGTGCGGTGCCTGTAGTCCTAACTTAATTCCAGGAGACGCGCTTCGGGAGACATGGTTGCATGGCAGTGTGAGGCCTTTCGTGACATTATAGAGTTGGACGGGAAAGTTACATTTTACATCACATCACCATCACACAGTTATTTCAGGTACAGGATTGTATTTCAAGGGGTTGCACCATCCTCGAGTGTTTCCATGTTGACCGGAGCTGCAGCAGGGTTTCACCGGTGTTGCCCAAACCCTTGGATGCATCTTGTTGGGAATGGGGAAAGGGACAGATGCGTCACCTCTCCATGCAACCGACACAACTGTATCTTCGTAGCTTTCATTTTTCCTGGCCCTGCGCGTGTGTGCCGTCTTGCATGGATGCCTGCTAGGCGCGCCTTTCTGCACAGCTTGCTGGTCTATGTCTGCAGCAGCAGCAACAGCAGGTGAAAGCTGCTGATGCTGAGGCGAAGCAGCAGCAGCAACAGCAGCAGCAAGCGCCAGCGCAGACGACCCTGGCTATGGAGTTGCTCACTATGATGGCTAGCCAGCAGCAGCAGCAGCAACAGCAAGCCGCGCAACAGCAGCAGCTGGCGGCTGCGGCTGCAGCCGCTCTGGCATCGGCTTCGCAACAGCAGCAAGCCCAGCAGCAGCAACAGGCGCAGCAGCAGCAACAAGCAGCGGCTGCCAACCCGCCGCCGCCGGCACTCGCTGCCCTTCAGAAATTAGCCGCTCTTGGCGTCGACTTGCAGAGCTTGGGAATTACGGCGGAGGCGCTGAGCAGCCAGATTACGGCCGCCAGCGGCGCCCAGGCGGCGGCGGCGGCCAACACGGGATTGGCCCACGACACCCTAGCGCTGCTGTCGGGAGTGCTCCAGGGATCCGCGTTCCCGCTGCCGACGGCGGCGAGTAGAGGAAAGAATGACAGTTCGTCGGGCCCGCAGAGTGCCGTGGTAGCGCCAAGCGGCGCCAGCGCAGTCGCACCGGCGACGGCGTCGCCAACGGTGCCGATGGATTCCTTGACGGCGCTACTGGCGGCAGCGGCGACGTCGCCGCCGGTTCAGTCTGTTGGCGGCGGAGTACCGGGCATCCCGCCTGGTATGCTGAGCGGGCTGCAGGGCATGTTGGGGCAGCTTGCCTTGGCAGGCGGGGCTGTACCGGTCCCACTGCCGCCGCAATCTTCCGCGCCGACGCCGGCGGTTCCCATGGCATCCCAGCTGCCTCAGCAGCAACAGCCGCAAATGGCATCCACACCCCCGACACCAAACCTGACGGTTGCGCCGCCGTTGGTGGAGCGGTCGTCGACGTCAGTGGCGTCAGATTCTAGCAGCGCCCCGCCGCCAGCTGCGGCCACGGCGCCGCCGCCGATGTCGCTGTCATCAGCTCCTAGCGCTACCTTGAGTGTAAAGCAGGGTTCGGAGGGGTCGGCATCCTCAGCTCCGGCCTCGCCACCTCAGGCGCCGCCAGCATCTGCTGCCGCCGGCGCAACATCTGGCACCGTCGGTTCCGCCGGCGTGTCTGCGAGCTCCGCCCTGAGCGCCTTGGCGGCCACCGCGGCCGCCGCCGGCGCTGGCGGCGGCGGCGTCGACGGAAATGCAGCCCTTGCGTCGCTGCTGGCGGAAGTGTACAGCAAGCCAGAGATGCTCCTGACGGCGCAGTCGCTGATTGACCGGATGGCCGCTGGTGCGGCCATAGGTGGCGCCGCCGCCGCCGCCGGTATGGATGCTACTGCCATGGCGGCACTGGCGGGTCTCGCGTCTGCTGCTGCGCCGCCACCGCAGCCTCAGCAGGCGGGGCCGCCGGCCTCTACCGGTACCTCCGCCAGCGACGAGGCGGGTTCCGGTGCCGTACGGCCGTGAGCCCGCCATGGAAGATGGGGGTTAGGGAAGCCTTCAAATTCTGAAAAGAAGTCCAGACTGAAATCCTCACGTAGTGTAATTGTGAGGGGACTTATGTCGGGCCGCCAGCTTTAAGGACGTGGTTTGGGGTTTCTCTGCGTGTGTTTCTAAACGACACCTGCAGGCGCTGGCTGTTGGGTGGGCTGTACGGCGACCGGGGTTGCATTGCGCGGAGGGTATCATCGGAATGGTGGTTGTGGTGGGATGGATGCGGTTGTCGGAATGCACTTAAGTTTTGAGAGGCCGAGCCGACCCGCAGAATCCGGGTGGCCAGCTTGGTCGTTGGCAGGAAGGCAATCATCATCGTCATCATCGTCATTGTCATTTTGCAGTTTGGCGATGTTCGAATCTCGGTAAGGGCGACGATGGCGGTGGTGCTGATGTGGGAGGTGGTGGTCAGTGGGCTGCTGGTTGGGGGCATGGGGTTCCATTTTATATCATGTGTGCACGGAAGTTGGGTGTTATTGGATTGGGCGAATTACGGCGATTTGATCCTGTCTTTGTGTGCGTATCTGTGTGCGCGTGTGCGTATGTATGTGTACGTATGTATGTGTGTGCGCAAGGGCGAAACAGGTTGGACCGTGTGGCAGTCACGGCTGCCCGGCAGCGGTGTGAATGCTATGTCCTTTTTGGGGTCGTTAGGGTGTTGATATCCTATCCTATCATATCATGGGAGATAATGGCTGAGCGGTCTTTGCACCGCACCGCGCCGAATACCCCAATACACCGTACCCTTTCTCTTTTGGCTTCACTGTCGCTCTTCTTCTCCGCCTGAATTTCGTCCACACGTCGCGTTTTTCCCTTACGTGTCCCATAAATCTGTTAGCCGTATGCTGATTTGATCACAGCGGCGTGGAGGTTGAAAGGTTGATCCTTTCCAGCCTCTGCGGTTCCGTTAGACAATAACTGCCCGCCCATGAAAGGCACGGCACGACGACCACCCACACATTAAACAGCCCGCCAGCAGCTCCTCCCCCACCCCTGACAATGACCCTCCTCGAAAGGAACATCCAATTTAAAGTCCAGATCTAGTTCAGGCGATGCGTATTGTACAACGGTCATAGCAGGTGGAAGTTTGCATCTGTCCTTTTTATTCGTTTTTGGCCGCCAATTGTGATTCGGCGCGCCTTGTTGGATTGAATAGCTTGTGGAGCGGCACATGACGTTTGGGCACAGGGTGCCTGCGGGTAGGGAAGGGCGTCGAGGTCGGGACTCCGGGGCACTCGCTTCCTCCCCGTCTCCTCTTCACCCCGTCTCCTCCACTCCGTCCTCCTTCGTGTGGTTGGCTAAGTGAAAGAGGTGATGGCTGGGGACTGCGCTGGCAGCTTCTTTCCATAATGCTGCTGCTGCTGCTGCTGCTGCTGCTGCTGCTGCTGCTGCTGCTGCTGCTGCTGCTGCTGCTGCTACCTCCGCTGCTGCTACCTCCGCTGCTGCTGCTACCTCCGCTGCAAATGTCAGCCGCGGTAACAGCGGTGCTGGCAAAAGCGTGTGGTGGTTGTTTACCCATCTGTAATTGTTGTGCGCCCTGCCCAGAATGGACGTGTGAAAAGGGGGGGAAAGGAGAGGGGGTTTGGATTTGGTGCCGTATGTACGTTCTTTCCGCAATGGCAGGTTGGATTTTTGTGAACCCACGTGCCGTACGCCGTACTGCGATCCAATTCGAAGTCGCTGTCCTTGTGCCTGCAGCAGCTGCTATCACGCGTGGTAAAGAGGAGGCGGAGCGTGGGGGGAGCGTGGGGGGAGCGATGCGTCAGTCCTTCCTGCCTTCGGGGCATTTGGACTCCCCGACCCCGCCCTTATCCCATGCTGCTGCAATTGTGGGGACGGGCGGCCTCGGCACCCGGGGGCGGTGGCATGGGCCGAACCGTCAAGCTGCAATTTGGGTAGCAGATGTGGGTGTGCAGGTCGCGCTTCCCTTTGTCTCCAAACACATGTCCGATCCAATTATACAGGCCCCAATGTGTTTTTCTGTGTGCGCGGTCAGCTATACCGGACCGCTGCTTTCCATTGATTGATGCGGAAAAATGAGATTTTACTCGCGACGATTTGCCGTCCGATCATTATCCTTTAGAGCAGTAGTAATACAATTGTAGCCGGTGCTGTTGAGCCGGAAATCAGAGGAGTGGGGTTGGATGTGGACTGCAAGCCTGCGATGGGGCAGAAAAGGAGATGCGCTGAGCCGTGCTCAGTTTGACGTACGGTGTACGAAGTACGGCATTGAGGTGCCGGGACCGGTGTGTCGTGGAGACGAAGGGGCCCGGAGGCCGCTGCTGTGTTTTTCGCAATGCGCTGTGCTCGTGTGCGAGAGGGTTTTTTAGGGACACACAACAATGCTCTCCTCCTTGTTGTGCTGCGCTCGGCTACGCGCTGTACATGTGCGCTTTCACACCGCTGTCTTCTCCGCCGATCCTCCTTTGTCGCTTCGCTTCGGTGCGAGCTCCCCACCTTTTTTGACGCACGCGCGAGCATGGGCCTCGTTGCCTGAGAGCGTCCTGGAAAAGCAGGCGTTGCCAACAGCGCCGTTTGTTGGCTGGATGCAAGGAGGCGGAGTGGGTAAGAAACTAGGAATAACATCAACAACGCCAAGAAATTTTCCTTCTAAATAAAAGAGAGTTAAATGGTTGTGTGGTGTGGTGTGGCGTGGCGGTGCTCTTGCACCTTGTGCTTTTGCAGGCGCCTGCCTGCCTGCCTGCCAACCTGCCTGTCTGTCAGTCTGTGTTATCAGGCTGCTGCGTTTTTGACGACGACACGTACGTGAGGAACGTTCGGCCGCCGTGCTGGTGGAGGCGCTTGTGTTGGTGTTGGTGCGCTATGAAGGTGTGATGATGGCCGCACTGGCGTGGGGCGGATCCTTCGGCAGCAGAAGCGGCTCGAGCTCCCCACTGCTCGTGGCTGAACGGCTTTTAATCATTTGCGGACGTGAATGTACGTGAAACTCGTGCTATTCTTTGCCCTCACTCACACCTTTGCACGCGGGGATGAGTAGTGTGGTGGGATTCTTGTGAGATCCAGATGTGGGAGGGCGTAGCGTGGTTTGGGGACCACGCATGCGGCGAGGAGAGAGAGAGAGGAGGGAAAAACGGCCCCGACTGCTTTTGTCCGGCAGTAGTGTTGTGCGTGGTTGATTGCGTGGAGCCTGGATGGAAACGGCTGTGGCGGGTCTAAGGATGTGGAATTTTGCTTAGGTGGTACCGAGGTCCATGTGTGAGGCGATTGTTTGTGCAGAGGATGGGGATTATTGGGGGTTACGCACGACCCTTGTATGCGCGCTTGCCTTATTGCAGCGCCTTACTGCAGCGCTTCAGAGACAACATATATGTCGGTACCTCTCTTTTCTTCAGGCGTGGAGGTGCTCTTTTAGAACATTCATTTTTTGTAACGTGCTTAGGAAAACCTGCAATCTAATAATTCATCGAAAAAATTAAATCGGAACAACGAATTTAATTTATCGCAAAATAAAGTATTCAAATATTTTGCTTGCCAACAACTCCGAACTTATCCCGGCCTACTCTGCTCACTGATGTGCTCAAAACCAGGACGTTGCACTTCCAATCATTTCTAAACAATATTAATAAAGGAATTCAACGCCTACTTCTGCTGCGCGCCCTATGAGCATTACGTCGTAAAGATGTGTTCTACTTGAAAGGCCCCTCGCCGCCTCTCAGTCCAATCCTCTGCCCTTCATGTCGAGGTCGAGATCACCCTTCCGGACGAGATCTCCGTTGTGTCCGCTGGCACAGCCCCTGTAGCAGTAGCAGCACTAGGCCCAGCCGCCGCTGTTGATGCCGCCGAATTGATGAGCGAATGCAGGAGAATTCCCGTAGCAACCGACACATTCAGCGAGTCTACGAGGCCACGAAGTACGGCATGCTGCGGCTGCTGCTGTCGTGGCAGCGGCGGCGACGGCGGCAAAGGCTGCCGCAGGTTCGTCGCCACCGCCGCGTCCGCGTCGTCCGCGCTGCTCGGAATGGAAATGCCCCTGCCAGCGCGAGCAGTGGTTGGGGGGGCCATGTCCACCCGTACCAGACCGCTGCATGCTCGTCGTACATTGGTACGGAGACCAAAACCCTCGCTACCTGCTCAAGGCGACACAGCAAGGCAGTCCACAGATCATGGCGATGCTAATCAACCCTAATCAACATGCTTTTATCAAATGACACCCTAACAGGCGGTAAGATGGCCTCGAAAGGACAAAATGGGGCCGACATGGGAAAAAACTGCAGGGAGATTCATTCAACATTTGGGTAATCTGGAGAATCTGGAAAACGAGGAAAAAAAGGGGGAAAACGATGCGGATATGAAATGCGACCAAACATAAACAGCTGGAGGGCACGGGCAAGAGATACATCGGAAATATACAGGAAAGGCCGAAGTTAAGAGCGAATCCACAATCGATCGATCCAGATCCACAGATTCAGATTCCTGTTCCATACCACTCACCGAGCACGAGGATGGTGGGTCGGTCCACGACGACGCGACCGACGGCCTCCGAGCCGCTCCCGGCCGCCGCCCCCAGCACCGTCCAGCCCTTGCGATCCCGCGCGTCCATCAAGGTGCGAGGCAGGTTGCGGCAGCTGTGCACCTGCAGGGCCTCGAGCGCACCTGCACTGGCCTGGGGGTGAAGGAGATCGGTGTTTGGAGCGTGCGTGCCTCACAGGGCGAAGGTGAGGCGAGGGGAGAGAGCGCCGCTCAGCTGAAATAGCGACAGCATCGGAAATGAAGAGATGACCCCCCACCCGGCAGGTTTTCATTAGGGGGTGAATGTGAATGGTGTCTTGTTCGGGGAGATACGAAATGAGGAAGTTAAGGGACTGCTCTTCCCTTCGCTCCTCACCTGTTTCTCCTGTCTCC